CGCCGTCCACCACCACCTGCACCAGCTCCACCTACGCGCAGGTCATACACAAGACACGTTGCGTTTCAATGGGACAGGTCCAAAATGGGTCAGTATGCTAGCGAGAGGAGGTTCAAAATCTTGAACGAATTAACATACAAAATACAGATCTATGTAAAAATGGCAATTCAAATCTGATTTAAAAAAAATATTGAAATGGTCTATGTATATGAAGTTTTTACAAATGATTTTAGTAGTACATTTAAAATAATTTAGATGACAATAAATTATTGGATGAAGTATATATTTTTTTAATTTAATAAAATTAATAAGTAATAAAAGTATTACTTATACTTTATTTGGAATTCATCAATTATTTGATTTAAAAAAAATCTGCATATGTGTTAGATTTTTCTGAAATTGTACCTTTTACAATAAATCATTTATTTTAATAGATAGGGAATGGAAAAAATAAAATAGCTAACGGCATACGTGGTGGCTTCCACACCCCCCTGTCAAGAAATGAAAGCTTACCTCTGACTTGCCCAGACGATCATTGTTGGAGATGTCAAAGGTGTCGCCTGTGGCCGCCGTGTCCACGCCACCCGTACCCCTTTTCTGCAGACGCAAGTTGTCCAAGATCTTGGAGAAGCGGGGATCCTATGGGACGGACCATTGCTCACTTACACAGGACCGAGACAATCCCCCAAAATGTCCAATGAAAAGCCCTCTGTACCGAATGCGTGTTGTGTATTTGCAAGCTTACTGCGCACAATACAAAACGCCACAGAAGGGGTAGTGAAACCAGCATTGACGTTTGACTACAAATGGCGCAGCAACACATAGACTGACAATTCAGTGGACAGACCACGACGGTGGATAATGGATGGATGGATAATAATACTTCACTATTACTGTAGCTTAGTTGTCTGTTCTTAAGTGTGTATTATATTGCCTCCTAGTGGTCAAGACGAGCACACCACAAGGAGGCCCATTTAATTAAAGCATAAAATCATGGTGCAGAATTTTTTTCCATTCTTTCTATTGTGTGTGCGTATGCATGTGCGAGTGTGTTACCTTGCTGAGTTTGGGAAGGCGCACGTGCACGCCCGCCCTGAGCCCCGTGCCCAGGTTGGAGGGACAAGTGAGAATGTAGCCCAGATGTTCGTTCCACATGAACTCCCAGCCCCTCTCCTGGATCAGATGTTCCACCTGTGGATGATGCAGATGCTGGCTTTCAACCTCCAATTGCTACTCAGTAATCCTGCCAAGCAACAGCTGAGTACAGAAACCGGATTTTTT